CCCTCGGCGGTCCAAGGCCAGCGCCGCCTCTTTCAGGGTCTCCGGCAGCTGGTTCACGAGCGAGGTCCCGCTCATAGATAAACAGATAGATAGACCGATTGATAGATCACTAGATAGATAGATTGGTAGATAGATAGATAGATAAATTGTAAAACCCAAACGGGGCACCACTCTTACCATCATCAAAATTCCACGTGACAGTGACAATGACAGTAGTCACGTGCCTGCTGCGCTGCCTAGTTATACATGACATGGCGTCGTATGTGACATGCAGTCACATGCCTTGAGTCAAGCAAGTGGCCACAGCAGTACCATGCCATGCCATGCTCCAATGCAAAAAGCTGCCAAGGACGATGAACAGCTGAAGCCAAGCTGGACTCTGAGCTCAGAGCTAGAGGCCGCAGATCCCGCTCTGCTGCACTGCTGCCTGGCAAGCTGACAAGCACAGACAAGCGGCCCCAAGACCAACAAATCACTTCAGCCGAAGATCAAACGAACAAGACCGATTCGGCACTCTCAGGCCATGACACTGACAGTGGAATCACGTCCTCAAGAATCTGGAAGTCCAAGATCATCCTCGACTGAGGGTCCGCAGCCTGAAATCTGAAAGGTGTCAGCCTGTCAAGGAAGTGGACCAAAACTCAGATCGAACTCTTGCCCTCAACTCTGAAGCCCTTTCGCAAACCCTGAACTCTCAAACCAACCTTGACACCTGTTCGGTGTCCACCCTGGACCCTTGGCACCTGCACGGCGCCCGACCCTTGGCACCTGTTCAGTGCCCCCAGGAGCTCAAACCTTGACACCTGTTCGGTGTCCAACCCCGGATCCTTGGCACCTGCACGGCGCCCGACCCTTGGCACCTGTTCAGTGCCCCCATTCTGATCCCAACCGAAGCCCTAAACCCTAAATCCTGATGTGGGAATGAAGATTTGTAGTAGCCTCCATGCAACCCGCTGCCACAGCATGGCAGGCCGGCCGGCTGCTGCCGCTGCGTGACAGGAAGGCTTAATTGTTGATGGACACGGTAGTCATTGGGTTTGTTGGGGCTGCGCCCTAACCTCAACCCCGAAACATTGCTGTCGTGAGCCCCGGCCCTGGAACCTATATACTTGAAAGCAATGCCTGTAACTACAGAAGCCCAGAAACTGAGAATGTACGACATGTAGAACCCACTGAGACTAAACCATTTCTTGTAAGGGTTTGGGTCGGGTTTGAGGCTGACTGTCAGCCCTTAGGGACGATGTTGAAAACCTACTGCAACAGCGGCAACCCCTTTCAAGCACAAAACCCTAAACCGTGAACCCCAGCCCTGGAACCTAAACACACCGGCCTGGCCTGGGGTCATGATGCCTGTAACACCCCAGAATTTACGACGTGTAGAGTCCACTGCGTTTAATTACTATAGGAGCTTAGGGGCCCCATTCGGAAAGAAGCTGCCCAAAGCCCTAAACCCTGCCCTGAACCCCTGGTCCCTGTCTTCTCCCGGCTATGCACTGGCTTACCCTAAAACCCTAAACCCTAAATTGCACGTAGGGGTGGGACACACCAATACCCTGGTGCTCGATATAGATTTCCTCTCAGCTCCGTGTGGGTCAGGGCAGCTTAGGGCCCTCCCGAAAATATCTACCCTAAACCCTGAACCCACCCAGAGCCTTCGGCAAGCAGTCAGGCGCTGCAACCTGGGCCAAGGCTTCAACTGATCCACGAGCAGGGTTAGGGTGGGTTTAGGGTACAGGTGAGAGCTAAACCCCGAATTATACCCACCTCAGACCCTTTCTTGCGGCCACGCTTAGTGCGTCGGCCGGGAGACGACGGGCCCTAAACTCTTGAAGCCTGCCACATCCTTCAATTAAAGCCCTTGAATCATTGAAGGTGCGGGGTGGGGAGTGGGGGTGAGAGGGGTTTGGGTTGGGGGATTGGGGCCTGCCTGCACGCCAGTCCTGTGGAAAATTCTGCCCACAGAAAATGCAATCCACGAGATCCCACGGTCGGGAGAAAACATGTGTGCAACAAGAGATTTCACCCTTTCAGTATTTCACGTACGGCAGCACACAGAAACCGACAGATATGTGGACGCACGCGTGGTTTCGCAGACGCATGCAAGAACTCGCTAGCACGATACGCGCACGTGCACGTACATGCATCGACTATGTGACATCGTCCTCGTCGTCGTCGTCGTCGTTCCTTGCACAGGAGTCGGCACCACGCAACGCATGTTGCAACATGAGCCTTTGTCTTCCCCCTTCCCATCCGCGTTTGCACCTGGCTGTCGGGGCCAATGGCCACTGGCCAACTTCAGAGGCTCGCATGAATCCCACAAACCCTATCCTGAACCAGTGTTGTCTCGTTTGATGACAGCATCTGGACCGAAATCTGATTAAGCCCCCTCGTCCTCTAACCCACAATGACATCATCACCGGCTCCAAGCCCACGCAAGGTAGCCGGAAGACAGCGCGGCGTATCCTAGCACCCCCTAGAGAATATTATATAAGGCAAGCATGCAATTGCAGCGCTTTAAGGCTGATTGGCTTCTTACTTCATTGACATGCCGAACGGATGAACGCGGGCCGCATCTTGGCGGCAGTTTGGGAATTTAATTACGGGGGTGCTTTGCAAATATAAAGGATCCGTACGCGCGCTATATAACCAGCAACCATGATCGTCATCATTCAGGCAGATTGCAGGCCCGCGCAAGCGTGAGTGTCTTCCCGGTTCCCATGTGGGCGCCGATGAGTAGGCGCATGCATGGAGGGCGCATTATAATGCGCGAATGCATCGTGGGTTCGCAGTACGTTACAGTATAAGCCCTATATAAACCCATTGCAACACCGGGGAGGGTTTGGGGGTTTGGGTGTTTAGGTTTAGGGGCGTAGGAATTGGATTTCAGGTTGTTTGGGTGAGGGTGTGCTGCATGATCAGCTCCTTACATGGTCGTCCATTTTTGAGACACTCTCAACATCAGGGGCCCCAATTGAAAACAGTCCCCCCCCCCCCCCCCCCCCCCCCCCAAACGGACCCAAGATTGGAGAACTCACGACATGCATGGATTAAGGTTTAGGGTGTAAACCCTAAACCCTAAAGCCTGAACCCTAAACCCCTAAACACCTAAACCCCGCAACCCCTAAACCCAACACCCCCCTTGAAGGTGGAGGGTTGAAAGGGCCCAGCCCCTGCGATAAAGTTCACATCCCAAACCCTGAGCCCCAGTTTCATGGACCCTCAATCTTAAGGGGGGGTGTTGGGGTTTACAGGGGTTTAAGGGGTTTGGGGTTTAGGGTTAGGGTTTAGGGTTTAGGGTTTAGGGCTTAGGGCTTAGGGCTTAGGGCTTAGGGTTTAGGGTTTAGGGTTTAGGGTTTAGGGTTGAGGGTTAAGGGTAAAGGGTTGAGGGTTTAAAGTCTAGGGTCTAGGGATGTCTAGGGATGTCTAGGGATGTCTACGAATGTCTAGGGATGTCTAGGGATGTCTAGGGTCTAGGGTCTAGGGTGGGTTTAGGGGACGGGTTTGGTTAGGGTGTGAGCCCCACAATAAATCTTCCTCAAGTAGACCTCCCCGAACAAAGTGCGAAATTTCTGGGGTTTAGGGTCTAGGGTTGAGGGTTTAGGCTTCGTCCCAAGACCCACAGGACCCATGGGGTGTGGGGGGAGAGGGGGGGGGGGGGGGGGGCGGGGGGGGGGGGGGGGGTGGGGAACGGGGTAAATTTTTTAAGGAAGTGCTTTTTGAAGCAAACAAAACAAACACACAACAGCTCCCGAAACCGTTTGCGTACTGAGGTTGCTATTGGGACCTAAACCAACCTAAGCCTTGCAACCCGACGCCTGTTGCCTTCAATGGTGACCCTTTAGGCCCTAAACCCTCTTCAACCCTTTAACGCCCTTCATCCTCAGCCCAAGGTCCTAACCGCCCTTGAACCCAAAGTCGATCTAGACCCAAAACGCCAAACCCTAAACCGTCAAACCCTGAGTGAGCCCCCTGCCAGCATCCGTCGAGGCCGCAATGCCACAGCCTTGCGCAGAGGTGTGATAAAGCTCCGGAACAAAAATGCGATCAGACACAACGAACCAGCGAAGCATGCACTCTCTGACTGGAGTCTGTCAGACGAACGAGGCCCCTGCCAGCATCCATCGAGGCCACAGCCTTACGAAGCCAGAGGTGCGAGAAAAGGAAGCAACGAGAGCATGATAACTTCGGGGCATGCAACTGTGAGGCAGGATCCAGAAGGCACGAGCCCTTTTGTTTGCAACGTCACGAAGGTCTCGCCAGGGGATCCGTTCTATAGAAAGCCTGTTCTATTCCTACAAAGACAATATAGTTGTGTAGTTGATTGGGCCCTATGCGAGCGGCCTACGTCTGAAGGCCCTGGGTTTCGTATCCATTTATGGATCCCTTAGCTAACAATCCAAAGTTCAGTGAAACTCCCAAGCGGGGTCTTCCCGGGAGGCAGAATGACGAGGCCAGTCTACAGATCAGTCAATGACAGTCAAGGCCGTCAAGTCTGGTCTAAGGTTTAACGGTTAAGGTCTAGGCTGGGTTTGGGGTCATGAGTCATCGGGCTGGCATGGACTGAATCAGCACTCGGCTCAGCTCACATTGACAATGACAATGTCGCGAAGCTCTGCTGCATGCCTGGGAAGACGAGGAGCGGTAAAAAAAAGGACTTCACCGCTGCCTAGGCTAGTGTTTTTCTCACGGTTATGCATTGTGCTCTTGTTTGGAACATGCGTTTTCCTATTTTAGACGTACTTGGGATCAGATAGCTAGACATGGACAAGTGGCCGCCGAGGTCCAGGAATGAGCCAGCAGGCCAGCAGCACCACGATCCAGGGCCAGTGCAAAGGAATCCAGGAAGGAGCGTGCCCTGTTGGAAGGGGAATAGCACAAAAAAAGCAACATCATGAGAATACTTGAGCCCTACCTAAAACTTGAACCCTACCCAAGTCCTAAGCTCAATAGTGCACTCAACAACGGCTTAAACCACGACAAGGACAAGTGGCCACCAATCATCAGGAGCCGCTGACATCGCCGTCCGGCCCAGCGCGATTGTAACTGGCGGAGCGGACGACGGCAGAGATTTCAGAGCCCATACGATCAGCAGTGGCTTCCAATCGGACCGACTGGAACTCGCGATTCTCCTTCTGCCTGGCTGCCTTGAGAGAAGCGATCTCGGCCTTGTGCTCGTCCAAAACTTTGTTCATGACGGAGACCTGGTTCTGCGTCATGAGCTTCTGCTTCTTCATCTCCGCATCGTGCTGATTCGACAGCAATAACAATGCCTCCGAGTGCCGGGTATCCAGGCGGCTGATCTCCTTCTGCTTGGCATCGCGCTCGCTCCGCACACGGACAAGGTCAGAACTCCTCTCCGCCAGCTGAGCCTTCAAGCTCTGGAGCTCCTTCTCCTTTGCTTCCAGCTGGGTCTGGCGCTCCTTCTCCTTTGCTTCCAGCTGGGTCTGGAGCTCCTTCTCCTTTGCTTCCAGCCGGGCCTCCACCTCGAGGTATCCATCCTTCAGAAGCCTGTCCCAGTCCTGGAATTCAGCCTTCTCCCACTCATAGGCTTCTTCGAGCATCGTCACCAGATTTTTCCGCTGCTGCATACGTCTTCGTTTGGCCATGTCGTTGTTGAAAGGTTTCTGCGCGTGCTTCTTCTTGGTTTTGGAAAGAGGCTCTGCATCCTTGTCAGGGCAAGTTTAAGTTCATATGTCCGAAACCGACCAAGAAAAAATGCACGGACTAAGGCCCAGCAAGCCAGTATTATCTCTGACCCTGCAACCCGGAAGCCCTGAAACCCTGAAGCCCTGACAGATCAGGTGGTTCAGTGACGGTTGGGTTCAGGGGCGGGGCACATTAAGCTTTGTTACCTTTCCCGCCGCTGACCTCCTCCTTCACGGCACTGACAATGACCGGCGGCTCCTCCTTCACGGCACTGACAATGACCGGCGGCGCTGAGGGTGGCGGAAGTGGTGGAGGTGGGACGGATTCCTCCTGCATGACAAAGCGGGTAAATCATTACTACCATCTAGAGTGCTTGGCCAAAGGAAGAGGTCACGAGTGGCATCGCTTTTCGGATTTAATCAAGGGTATCGCTTCCCCGACAAAAACAGCATCGGTGACTGCTCCCCTCCTCTTTGGCCCGCGTTCTTCGCGAGGACGAAGAGCCACCATGGCCTGCGTGGCCCTCCCAGTCCTGGATGGGGGGGTTCTAGGGGTCCGGGTCCTGGTCACCATGCCATTCAACCCTTAGGGTAAAAACAATATCCCTGACTGCTCTCCTCTGCATCCTCTTCTTTGGCACCATGGCCCGCGTGGCCCTCCCGGTCTGGGGCCTGCTGGTCCTTCAATTCAAGGCAAAAGAAGGGCTGAGCACGACCTGAAATCCTTACAAATCTCAACTCAAACCAAAGCCCCTGGAGCAGGCCAGAGTGGGTTAGGGGTCCGGGTCCAGGCGCCATTCAACCCGAAGCCCTGAATGCGGGCGTGGGTTAAGGGAGTGGGTCATGGTCACCATGTCCTGGCTCCAGGAGCTCTCGCCCCAGCCACTGCGGGTCCAGCTACTGTCTTTCCAGGACCCCCACCGACTCCATGTCGACATGGCAGAATGTGCGCTTAGGCAGCACCCTGCTGAGATTGGCCCAATAAGGGCAAAACGGAAGGGTGCACCAACTTACGTAAATACCAGATTGATATCACGAAGGTGTGTGTGTGTGTGTGGGTGTGCTTCTGCGCTGTGACTGACAGACTGCTGTCTTCCCAGCTCACCCGTCGTCAATTCAATGTCATTGAAACTATGTTTCTAGTCCAGTCACTTTTGGCTACCCAACATGATGTCATGAGTGACAGGTGCGTTTCTGTCGTGCTGAGCTTGAGTCAACACTGGTCATTGCAGACAAACAGACAGCTCACGTCAAAGTGCTCATCAGTCATCATGTCAACCGAACTGAAAGTGCTCATCAAAGACGATCAGAGCACACTGGGAACCGAGCTGAATCAGGCAAATGTTCTTGACGACGACAATGACAATGGTGCGACACTGCCTCAGGCCCGGCGAGCGAAAGGTTCACGCAACCCCAACAGATCATCCCTACCATCAAACAGGGTCCGGGATTGAGGATCAAGCCAACGACTATTGTAGGGTCAGGGTTCAGGTGCTTCAGTGATTTCAGGGCTTAAAATAAGTTTCTGAAAGCCATCCGGCTTGAATCCTATGCCCTAAGCCCTAGAATCTGCCCTAAACCCGACATTTTACGTTGACAGCACCCCTGCCTATTCAAACCTTGACAACAAAAATCCTGAGCCCGCTATGCAAAACCCTCAATCCACAAGAACTCCAGCGCTTAAGCCCAACACCCAAGAGTGTGTAAAGTATTCCCGCTTCTTAAGAAGGGTACCCTTGTGACATTAGGCTATCAGATTCTCATAGACGAGGAACTCAGGATCCAAAAAGAGCAAACGGGCCACTAGGACAGTAAGATCTGCTCTAGGGTTTAGGGTTTAGGGTTTAGGGCTTAGGGCTTCGGGTTTAGGGTTTAGGGTTTAGGGTTTAGGGTTTAGGGTTTAGGGTTTAGGGTTTAGGGTTTAGGGTTTAGGGTTTAGGGTTTAGGGTTTAGGGTGCCCAACCCTTGGCACCTGTTCGGTGCCCAATGCTTGGCACCTGTTCGGTGCCCAACCCTTGGCACCTGTTCGGTGCCCAACCCTTGGCACCTGTTCGGTGCCCAACCCTTGGCACCTGCTCGGTGCCCAACCCTTGGCACCTGTTCGGTGCCCAACCCTTGGCACCTGTTCGGTGCCCAACCCTGTTCAGTGCCCCGGGCGCATGAAGATGAGGTCGCGACGGCCAAAGTTGACGACGATCGCCCTGTTGGGCCTTGCAGCAAGGGATCGGGAAACACCCACATTTAGAACTCTACAGCAGGGTGATGCAAAACTGCAACAACTCAGGCTGTGGCCCACCCGGATGATGAACTCGCCATTGGTCTTCTTCTCATCTCTCTTCTGTATTCTTTCTTCTCTTTCTTCTCTTCTGCTTCTTTCTTCTTCGCAGCAGGAGCCGGTGTACATGTTAAACTTGAAATCGAACCCCCTGAAATCTGATGTTTAAAACCCGCTAAACCCGACCATATAGCAAGCCCTGGGTGAGAAGAGGACTATAAACAGTTGTCATGAACAACTAAGTCCTCAGGCTTGCAGGGGTTTTACTGTCCGTTCAGCTGTATCAGGCGGCCAATGAAGGCAAAAGAGGATGGAGAAACTTTTTGACATCGTAGCAGCTTAGCTGCTGTTGGCTCAGCGTTAAGGACAGTGTCCTTTAGCTGGGGCTTGCCGTGCAAACCTTGCGAATTTGAGGTGCCCGCTTCTAGTAATTGTGGCCTTTCCAGGACCATCCGGATCTTTTGTCCCATTGGGTTTGGCTGTCTTCGCCGGCATCTTCTCTGGGCCTTCGAAGACCGCGAGGTTGTGCTGGCTGCGTGGCTCTGCTGGACGGATTTTTCGTCCAGTCGTTGTGCTTGATGGTGAATTGAGCTTCTCGCTGTGGTCCCTGCTTGATGTGGTAGGAGACCTTTGCCGTCCCATTAACTCGCTTTGAGGTGAGGTCGTAGATGGTGGAGAAGGTAGCCGCGAATATGGTGTAGTCTTCAGCATCTTGGTCCGTGTGAATTTTGAAGCCTTGATGATGGCGTGAAGCCCGCCTATCCAGCGGGTCGGTGAGTCCAGCTCTACCCAGTGTCCCTCGCGAAGGGTGGAAATTGTGACCGCTCCTGTAGGCCCGATGGTGACTTTGGCAGTCATAAGAACCTGCCATGTGAGCCCCGTTGCTGTCTGTGCGCGGAGCAGACTCTGCAAGACTCTGGGAGGCTCACGCAAGATATCTAGTCTGCGTTGCCAGATTTTTGCCCATTCCCCTGCCGTCAAGAGGCCCATCACCTGAGGATTCGTGATGACCTGGACCTCGCTGGCCGTCTTGACCCATTCTTGGAAGCCCTGATCGCTGCATTGCTCCTGCATGGTGAGTGGCCGCTGTGGTGGAGGAGGAGGCACTCCTGCTGATTCGTACGGCCGTTCTTGTTCAACTGGAGGAAGGACCTGAGGAGGCTCCGGTGGAGCTGTGGTCGGCAGAGCTTGGGGTTCTGGTGGTGGCATCGTTGTTGTTTGAGGATGGTCAGGATATGCTGCGGCGTCCCTTCCAGGCGGTGGTCCTGTTGGCTCGGGAGGACGTTGAGTGCCGGCGCTGCCGCTGGACGAGGCCGCTAGGGCCGCTAGGGCAGTGCCCTCGGGTTTTGCCTGAACAGTGTTCTGGAAGACCTCTGGTGATTGATTTTCTGGAGTAGACGGGGTGAACTCTGCCTCCGTCTTGCGGTCCAGGGCTTCGCTGAATTTGATTGCCGAGTTGGCATGCCACCCCTGCCTGGCGAAATGCTGCTTGATGCCCGCGTCGTTGGAGAAGGAGATGTTGTTGCCGTGTTTGTTCTTGCAGAACGCACATTGGAGGTAGAGGGTGTCCGGGTTGACGCTGAGGCCGCGCGGGATCAGAGCCTGAACATCTCGCAGTTCGAGGGAGCCGTAGTATTGCGGAAACGCCTCGATCTGTTGCAGGATCTTCTGGAGGAGGTTGGTCTCCATGGCCTCAGTGACATGGGCTGTGATCAGGGTCACCGTCGGCTTGCCCGCTGAGATTTCCTGGGTGGGCATTCCGGGCTCTGGTTGAAGATGGCGGGTACTGAAAAGCACTGCATTGGCTGCCGTCGGTATCTGGGACGATGCAGATACCGCGTCGCCCCGGACAGTGTCCGGGGTACGGGTTTGTTGACCCTCCTGCAGTGCAGTAGGCAAGTTGCGTAGAATGCCATTTTCCTGTGCCTGCTGGGTGCCCGGGTCGTTCTTCCATCCATGTCGCCATTGCCAGCATCTAGTCAAGGCCACCCTTTTCCCCGTCTTTGTTGTGAAGAAGTGCCCATCATTTCTGTATGGACCGTTCTGGCGGAGTTCTGTGCTCATCTCTTCTTGCAGAAGGTAGATTGGGCCCAGACGAGGACAAAGATGCCATCCGGGTGTCAGCAGGTCCGTGGACGCAAGTCCGAGGTCTTCCTTGATGACCTGGAAGAGGACCTTGCAGAAGGTCATGTAGGACGGGGTGTGCTCGCGTCTCACAAAGTCATTGGCTAAGCAGTGGTGGAGTGCGGACGTCATTAATGGGTGACGGCGTCGTCCCAGCAAGATGCCCTGGAAGATGTGGTCCTTCTTTGCTCCGATGGCGGTGAGGAAGTAGTCTGGCGGACCAGTGGCTGGGTTGATCCAGCCGTATTTGTGCTGTGCCTGCCTCGAGAGCGTGGATGTCCATTCATTCATGATGCAGGAAATGAGGGTCCGGTACGTCACCACAAAGCGCGTTTTGATGTCAATGTACATCCCTCCCCGAAGCCAGTGCTCTGTGTACCGCCAGACGTCAGCGCGGTGCGCTGCGTTGGTCAGTGAATGGTAAAGGCAGTGCCCTACCATGCCAGACAGCTCCTTCATGATCTCGACCTGCTTGGCGTCGTCAAAGAATTCCCTCGGGATGTTTGGGAAGCATTCCTCCATCATCTCGTATCATCTCGTGAGGACCAGGTTGTGAGTCGTGCACGTAGGTCTGGAAGACTCGAAGAGGAGGTTGAGCTGTCAGGTAGTGGCCGCCTAGCGCATATACTATCGCGGCGCTTTCTCCTGCATGTTGGGCCGCCTCAGCAAGCAGTGCACTGAGAGTGTCTGCCCGAGTCAGTGCACGGGTGGCCAGCATTTCCTTGTGCACTGTGTTCTTCACGGTATTCCAGCAGCATAGCAGGACGTGGATGCTGGGGCGTGCTCCTGGTTGGGGGGTCGTCTTCGCATCCATAGCTTGGAGGGCCGCTGCCACCACCTGGCAGATTGCCTCTTGCGCTATTTCCGGCCGAAAGTGCACTGATTTGGTGGTGTAGAGCTGCATGTTTTCGTTGTCGAGATCCATGATGTGGAACGGGACCTCGTGGGAGCACAGCTGGAAGTCTGTGCGATACTGCCCAATCCAGTCGTAGTTCGCCTGCTTTTCCGGTCGGAGAGATCTTTCGAGCGGTATCAGGCCTATGTTGATCCGATGGTTTTGGTGCTTGTTCAGGAAGGTCGCCAGTCCCTCACAGGCTGCTTTGTTGTCCCCCTCCGACATCATGAAGGCCTTGGGAAGTCGGATGGATCCGTCCGGATATGCCGATTTTGCCAAGGTCTGGCCTGCCGCTGTCACCAGGGCTTCCAAGATGCTGGGGCAGGTCTTGCCTTGCCATGTGTGGCGCGAGGTCAGCGTGGCCCCCGGACATATGACAGCGTAGCCCGAAGCAAGGGTCCTCACGCCATAGCTCTGGTGCAACTGGGTCTCGTTGTTGTAGAGGAGGTGCTGAAAGGTGCTGTCCACCAAACACAGCACTGGCGTAGGAGACGGGGTCCTTGGCGCTGCTGCCATTGCTGGACGGGAGAGGCTCCGTCTCAGTCTGACTTAGTCCGAAGCGCTCCTTTGGGAGATGCAGTGCCCCTACGTGAATAAGTTGCAAAGAGTTACTTTGATGAGATGAGAGCTAGTCGTAAATGTTTTGAGCTGGAGGGCTGTGATGTACTCCACGCAGGCTGTCCTCGGCAAGCTTGTGGCCCTGCAGAGGGAAGAGCTGGGCAGCTGGTCAGTTGTGGCTCAGCGGCTGTGAGGATTATTTTTACGCATCCTTGAAGTTTTAGCTTCCGGTGCTGCCGTGGTTGGCAGGAATGAATGCTCATAAGGGAAAAGGTGAAAGGTGAGATTCGTGAGCTGTGTCAGCGGCTTGATAGGTCAGCTGTCTGGTCTGTACAAGTACTTGATGTACAGCTGCAGTGCAGTCTGTACTTTGGTCTGGACAGTGTCCCGTGAACGACCAAGCAGTGCTTGCCCTTTCCATCGCGACCGAATTTGGGAGCTGTTCAGCGCGACACCTGCGAGTAGGCGAACACCGCCCATTGTAGAATGCGACGCTGTTCAGGTGGCAGCCAGCCAGGTGCTGAGGATGACCATGTCGGCATTGCTCATCATCGTGGAGCCGGTGTGCGTCGAAAGTGGTGGAAGAGGTGGAAGCTCGAGTTCTGGCGTGCCTGGCGCTGGAGGTGAGCTTGCGCTCGTGTCCGCCGGTGGAGGAGGAGGATCAGCCCAGACGCCCTGTCCTCTAGACATCAACAAGTGCTCGTAGTCGAATTGGGCTGGAGCGTCTCTAACCCTCTTCTGTCCTCCTGTATTGGAGGGCACCGGGCTGGCCGTCGTTGCTTGTGGTGGGCCCGATTCCATCACAAAGCATTGGTGAAGAAGGCTTGGATCGGTCCTGTCGTTGTTCTGTGTTGATGGAGGAAAGAATCGCCCATGATGATCTGAAAAAGCACGCCGCATTGTTCTGGGTGTTTGCGCCTGTCAGTGACTGGCTTCCTGCAGTATGGGCAGGAGCTGCCCTTAAAGATTTCGGCACCGAGTTTCCGGCATTTCACAGCCGTTTCGGTGTGCAGGGCGTCCCAAGCCTTTCGGTGCTCCTGGTGAATGTGGGACTTCACCTTGGTATGATCAGGAGTCCAGAAACCGCAGATCACGCAGTGTTGCACGAAGTGCCTGGAGTCATGTTGCCTGGCGAGCTGAGTGACCGTATGTGTGTCCTTCGTGCTCTCTAGGTATGCCTTAGACCAGGCATGCATCACCTCTGTTGCGCCTTGTTGGGTTTGGAGTTCAAAGGTTCGGGCGTCCAATTCTCGCAGGGCGTCTGGATTGGGGCAGGCCCCTGATAGTAGATGGTCTTTAAGGCCTTTCCACAGTGCAAATTCTTTTGAGCACGCTGCACAGGTTGGGAGGCCGTTTTTGGAGTGTTCTGGTAGGAATGATTTGGGCACATATCTGTCCAGCTGCTCTCGGTGCTTTTTGACCTCGTGGATCTTTAGGCCTTGCTCTGAGTTAGAGCTGAAGGAGCACAACCGGCATTTGTGAGTCGGTTCTTCTGCCGTTGCTTGCGACGCAGTCAGCAGTGCATCATATTCATGCAGCACCATTTCAGCATACTGAAGTGCCTGGGCTGTTAATGACACGTCTGAATCCGGGGACGACGTGTCTGTGTGAGTCAGTGACTCAGTCGCTTCCTTCTGCAGTGCAGACTGGGATTGCCTTGCCTGCCAGATCCGTCCTTGTAGGGATGTGACTCGGTTCGCGTGTCTGTCTCGCAGGATCGAGAACTCCTCGTATAGGCGCTCTGTGGATGTTCCTGTGAGATGGACCGGTCTGTTCAGGACTGCCCTAATTTTTCTGGCAAACCATCCTCGCAGCTGTTTAGCAGTGTCTGCCGTAAGGCCTATGTCTACAAGGCCTGCTGAGACAGTGGCCCAGACTGTGGAGAACCAAATCTTGAGTCTGCTCTTTGGCCCCGAGTGTCTCCTGTTGTGAACATATCTGCGAACTTGTTGAAGTTTGGCGTTGCCTTCTTGCAGGCGATGTGCGAGGCTCAGTTTTTCCTGATTGCCGTAAGAGACGTACGCACCCAGGTACTTAAAAGAGTGGGATTGTGGGAATGACTCCTGGGCTTTCGTGCTACCTATTCTCCATAACCGATGCTTGTTGCCTTGTGCATCCTTGTGAACTCGGCTGAAGAGTTTGTGTGCTCTGGAGGAGGCAGTACCTAAGAGTTTTACCATCAGGTGGCACTTCTCTGGGTTCACCTTAAAGCCGTACTTTCGAACAATGCGGAGCAACTCTGCTATCATTTGGTGAGCCTTTAGCAGGTCTTCCCAATTGTTGATGGTGTGATGGATCGTCATGTCATCTGCATAGCCTGTGAGAGATTGCTGCATCCTTCTTTGCCCACAACTGTTGATAGTTCCTTAAAGAGCTTGCCTGTGAGCATCGAGAAGAGAGTGGGGGCGAGCTTGCATCCTTGTTTTATTCCTGTAGTCGATTCTACCTCACATGTCCGTTGCTGTGACCTGACTTTATAGCGACTGTCTGTGTGCAGAGACGCTACTAAGTTCTGCACCGCGATTGGGACGTTGGCCTCCTGCAGCTGCAGGGTGTCCATGAGGTCCTGTCGTCGCACCATGTCGAATGCTTGAGAAAGGTCCAGTGCAAAGCAAATGCCCCCTACTAGCTCTGGCTTGGCATGGCCTGCATGCTGGCTGTGTCTGCTGAGTCTGGCTTGTGCGCAGGCATGCCTGACTTCGCGCGTGTGTTGCGAGACTCTGGACAGGGCATCCGACAGCCCTCTCCTAGGCTGATAGGCAAACTGAGGCACTGGCTTTAGGTAGCTGGACGTGTAGGGAGCTAGCAGATCCCTGCATGCTCCTGCCAATCCTTTGCCATCTGGTCGTATTATGCCTAGTGGGCGAAGGTTAGTGGGCTTGTTTGGTGGCTTATTCGGCTTGGGAATAAAGCAAAGGTCAGTATCTTTCAGCGGTGCTGAAAGTGTCACTGATGAATCCACTGAGCAGTGCTCAGCTTTGAGGCTCTGTGCCTGGCAGTATTGCTGGAGCACGTCTCCTGTCGAGGCTGAGCACAGTTTCCACGCTGCTGCCGAAGCTGAACCTTCGGGTACTGCTTTGTGCGGCCGTATGGAGCCGATGTGCTTGGCCAATGCTGGAGCCTGCAGCTGTGGCAGTGTATTCACCAGCACATCTAACCTGTCATGCCTCTGGAACACTGCCTTAGCATGATCTTTCATGAGCAGGAGTTCCTCCTCGGCTGCCATCAAGTATCCGTCCTGGTTCACCAGCTGTGTTTTCGGCTGCGGTTGCCAGGGTCGGAGAGCTTTCAGGGTTTTGTGGCTCAAGTAGGAATCTCCCGTATTGGCTGAGTGATCCACCTCCTTTGTGAAGTCGGCTACTCGTTGCTTCTTTGCCAATGATACTGCCTGCTTATGCCAAGTCGCCAGGTCATTGACCAACACCTCGTGGTCTGCCTGTGTCAGGGATTGGCTTCTTAAGTCTTCGTCCAGTGCAGACAGACGCGACCACATTCTTTGAGTCGCCCTGTGCATGGCGTTCAGCGGAGGAGCTGAAGGTTTAGGGGCACGCGGAAAGTACCTCTCTGAGGCACGTATGAGGATGTCATTGACCTCATTCATGTCCGGAGGAGTCAGCTGCTGAAGCTGGTCAGCGACCCACTCCTTCATTTCTTGTGCCTTAGGATGATTGTAGCGCACTGCATTTTCAAGTGCATGCTTGTCATAAGGCGGGGGGGGAGGGGGGGGAGGGGGGAGCTGCCAGTGCCTCATTGGGCGTATTTGTGCTTCCACGGGGAGATGGCCGCCCTTCTTCCATTTCCCGAGCTGGAAATTGTCGATTGGCTTGCTCTTCTTAGCATCACTTCGGGAGATAGTTTTCGGGACTAGGATGTAGTCTAATTGAGATTGCGTTGTGGCCGTCTGGAAAGTGAATCCTTTCCCTGAAGACCAGGTGTTCAGCGCAACTAATCCATGTCCCTGAACCAGCCGTTGGAAGTATTCGTCTTCGGTCTTTCGATGTGGAGGAGGTCCTGGAGTGCACAAGCCAACCGCTCCTGGGCTCGACTTTAGGGTCAAGTTGAAGTCGCCCAGCACTATCAGGGTGTCTCTCTGCGGTGTTCCTCGGATGGCACGGGACAGAGCAGCGAGGGTGGTGGATCTATCTTCTCTGTTTTTCTGTGCAGTTTTTGAGGTCGACCATACGTGCTGGTATACTGACACAACGTGTACTCGAGCTCCCTTCCACTGAAGTACTATCTCAAGGACACGTCCCTTCTGATGCTCTTTCCATCTGACAGTGTCTTTTGGAATGTGCGGGGCAGTCAGGACCATCACTCCATCTGCTCGCTTGTCATCATGCAGGGCATGGGATTGGGCTTCTGGCAGCGCCAGTCCTGTTCCTTCTGTGCTCGAATTTGGCTTTTTCTTAGCCCGGGTGGCCTTCACCTGTCCTTTGCTGGCAGAGCTAACACAGTGCCAGCCCTCCACCTCAAATTCGGTGGTTTCCTGCCAGTGTGTCTCCTGCAGGGCAATAACATCAGATTTGTCTGCTGCCGTGCGAAGCCACGTGCGAAGCTCGGCCCACTGCTGTTGTCCTAAGTGCCCTGCGTTCCAGGTGAGTACTCGGAGTGGCTTAGCCATTGCTCCCCCTCTGGATCTTGGCATTGTGCGCTTAGGTGCAGGCGTCTGCTGCGTGGAGCCCCCATCTGCAGGTTGGGCAGGGGGATTCAATCCACTCCTTGCAACATATTCAGGTGTCAAGATGCCTCGCCTATAAGAAATGCTTTGTTGAGTGCGTGAAACTATCGCGCAAGCTCTCCTGAATGCAACTTTACGAATGCTCCGAAAATTGTTGGGGTACTCAGAGGGTACCGCCATCCGCTAGTTTTTCCCCACCTCTCGCCTACCTCCTGAATGGCTGCCGGTGATGTCTGGATTCAGGAGGCCCGGGAATTGGGACCCGGCAGATCAGACAGCACAGAGCTCGCGACAACCCATGGCTCTCTGTAAGGCACAAGCAGTTACGTTGCCCTGGGGACCAGTTGAGCCTCTAGGACAGAAGTTGCGCCCAAAGCCCGATTGACCTTGTAGCAAGTGCCCGGCCGTCTGATCCGTGGCGGCTACTAGTACTACTACTATTACTACTACTACTACTACTACTACTACTACTACTACTACTACTACTACTACTACTACTACTACTACTACTACTACTACTACTACTACTACTACTACTACTACTACTACTACTACTACTACTACTACTGCTGCTGCTACTACTACTACACTACTACTACTACTACTACTACTACTACTACTACTACTACTACTACTACTACTGCTGCTGCTACTACTACTACTAATACTACTAATACTACTACTACTACTACTACTACTACTACTACTACTACTACTACTACTACTACTACTACTACTACTACTGCTGCTACTGCTATGCTGCTGCTACTACTACTAACTACTGCTACTACTACTACTACCACTACTACTACTACTACTACTACTACTACTACTACTACTACTACTACTACTACTACTACTACTACTACTACTACTACTACTACTACTACTACTACTACTACTACTACTACTACTACTCCTACTCCTCCTGCTACTACTACTGCTACTGCTACTACTACTTTTCCTCCTCCTCCTCCTCCTCCTACCACCCCCTTTAAGAATTATGCGACGGATGCTGAACCATGACCACGACACCACTACCACTCCAACTTTGGCGTGCCACTCTTGCGTTGATAACGCGACCTGCAACAACAACTGCCAAGAAGAAAACACTTTGTTTTTCTCGGGAAAGGAAAACACCGTGTTTCCACCACTGGAGAACGGCTTGGGAAAGGAAAACCGTGTTTTCCACCGTGTGTTCCAGTGGTGACGCGTGACACACCACAACACCAGAACCTTTTTTCGAAGCCAGAACCCAATCACATAACAAACAACCGCAACAACAACCCTTCTTAAAAAATATCAACGATGTCTGAAGACAGTCAATCCAAGGCACGAAAGAAGCTGAAAAACAAGATGATGCGTCTTCCTAACTTTTTTGCAATCAAATCAATCAAACTGATGGGCTCAAATTTCAAAACAACAATCCAAAAACCTGCAAAAACAACGGCTTTTTGTTGCAAACTTGTTTTTGACAATCACATGTGATGATGTTTGAGAAACAAACTAGAACCAGTGACTTGAAAACTTGAAAAAGGAAATTGCAGATTTGGCAAACGCAGAAGTTGTCAGAAGCTGTTTTTGAGTGACTTTTGAGTTTTTTTTTGCATTCTCAATTTTTTCCTGATGATTTTTCTTTGAAAGGCTTCCAAACAAATTGCTTCTTTTGAAACAAGGTTTTTGAAAGCCTCTATTCAGCCTCGTTTGGATGAATCAACTGCAGGACGAGACGAGTCCAGCTGTTTTATTGATATGCCAATATTGTGCGCGGTGACTTTTAAGTTTATTTTTTGCATTCTCAAATTTTTCTAATGAATTTTTCTTCAAAACAAATTGCTTTGAAACAAGGGTTTTTGAAAGCCTCTAACAGTGTTGTTTGGACGAAAATCAACTGCAGGACGAGGCGAGTCCAACTGTGTCATTGATGTACCAATGTTGCGCGCGACGCCCAAACCGAAGCGTCTGACAAGGCCAAGTGTCTTTCCAAAATGTGCTGCACGAAGGTCTTCTCCAGATGCTAGGCCAAAGGTGTTGGGCATTGGGGTTTTTGAGCCTAGTAAGCGCAATTTTTCTATCGCAGGCAACTGCGTTGCTTTGGCTGGACAAGCCCAAAAGGAAATCCAGTGCCTTTGACTCAGCGTCATTCACCGTAAAACCCACCTGAAGAGCTCCAACTGCAAACCCTACAATCTTATAGTTCGGATCTGGCTCCGGCCCTTGCCAGCTGCATGCTGGTAGATGGCCGTCCTTGTGCTTGCCATTCTAAGCCTGGGATCGGAGGCCTGCGGTCCTTCTGAGCCATCTGTGCCAAACCAAACGGGTTGGCTGCTCTGCGCCGCTTCTTGGAGGGTTCCTTCAACTTGGTTGCAAGGAAAGATGGGGGGTGGTTTGGGTGCTTGGGAAGCGGGGCTGGGACTCGCCCTCTTAACCAGAGGCAATCTGGTGAAGTGCCTAAATAAGGAGAGCAAAGCAAGCGAAACACGGTGTTACAATTTTGTGTTTGTCAGTAACTTGATTTTCTCTGCATTCTCAGATTTTTTCCTGATGAATTTTCTTGAAAGGCTTTAAAAACAAATTGCTTGAAACAAGGGTTTTTGAAGGCCTCTAACAGTGTCGTTTGGACGAAAATCAACTGCAGGACAAAACGAGTCCAACTGTGTCATTGATACACCAATGTTGCGCGCGACGCCCAAACCGAAGCGTCTGACGAAGGCCAAGTGTCTTTCCAAAATGTGAATAAGGCGAGCGAAGCGAGCGAAACACCGGAGTGTGCGTAACAATTTTGTGTTGTTAGAAGCTGTTTTTGAGTGAATTTTAAGTTTTTTTTTTTTGCATTCTCAATTTTTCCGAATGATTTCTTCGAAAGGCTTCAAAACAAATTGCTTTGAAACAAGGTTTTTGAAAACCTTCTATTCAGCCTCGTTTGGATGAATCAGAACGAGACGAGTCCAGCCAATGTTGCACGCAACGGTGACTTTTGAGGCAAAGTGTCTTTCCACAATGTGAACAAGGTGAGTGTCACATTTTTGTCTTCAAAAACAAATTGCTTTGAAACAAGTTTTTGAAAGCCTCTAACAGTGTCGTTTGGACGAAAATCAACTGAGGAC